ATATTTGCTATACAGGCGTGAATGCAAACTTCCCCCAGGACGGCAGCCTTTGTGTGCATATTGTAGCACCAGCGGGAGTCTGCGGTATGTTCACGGCGCTGGTGTAGCAATGGAGTGCCACTGACACGGCATTTTCTCTGTAGTTCCACTCGGCCTCGACTTGGAGGATAAAGTCTCTTCCGTGGGTCCAGATCGGGGAGCATACTGCCGCTTCTTCTTGTTAGTTCTTTCTAGAAATTCATTGATGTTTCGTATGGGCTGCTAACTTTCTTTCAGTGATCGCGGTTGCCAGGACAATAATGGATGGCGCCACTTTGATACCGTCTTTCCGGGGATTCCGGATCTCTCCGCGTTTGAAAATGGAGCATCTAATGATCAAATTAGTAGCTATCAGTGTTGGGATATGTAGATGCTGGTAGAGGAAAGTTTTAGGTGCTCTGTTAATGCTGGAAGGTACTGGACATTCGCACGTTCGCCCTTGCAGACAATTAGCTTGCGGAAGACTCTTCTGCTAGGGTTCCCTCACAAAAAATTGTGCTAAATGTTTCAATGTTGTTAGTAGTTTTCTAGCTTTTATGTGCTAGATAGTCGCTCCTTTTAGAAATAATTCAAGTCTAACATTCTCACCGACATTCTTTACGTTAGGTCCCTTTGTGGAAGCTAGTGTTCGGAATCGACAGGTAGAGCACGTGCAGGCACTGCCTTAAGCTCTCTTAGGCATAAACCTAAGCCTAATCAGGCAAGGCCTTACCTAAAAGGGTAGTTTTAGGTGCTAAGAGGATGCATTAAGGTACTAAAACTAGTGCCTACACAATAATTTAATACCTGTGTTCTTAGAGAAAATCTCTTAAAGGCTGTAATTATAAAACTTAATTAGAGTAGAGATTTTCCTAGTGCTGCTCTAACGATTAGCATCCTCTTTCTAAGCACTTGCAGGTACTAATCACCTGCGGGTAGACTACCGCCACCTGTTGATGCTAAGCACTAATGGAAGCCGCAGTTATCTAGAGGCTTAATCTATTACAATTATTAAATAATTACATTCTTCGAAGAGCAGCAGCTAGCCGATCGATATTTGTAGTTAAGAAGTTAAAATTATTAAAAGAATGTGTAAGCTAGAAGGCTCTACAATAGGCTACCTAATTAACCTAAGGCTTAGCATCTATTATTACAATATTAATAATATAACTTCTTAAACCTTTAATCTAAAATACGTAACTTCTTTTATAACTTATGCCTTTGTAAGGCTATAGTTATAACCTTAGATATTGCTTTAAATATCTATTTAGTTTAATCTAGCTGTTAATTCACATACCTTAATAAGATCTCTTTCTTTTACTTCTTTACTCTAATCTTAATCTACTACTCTATTAACAATTTAAACTTAATATTGTAAGTAGGCTAGCATTATATAGTTTGCAATTCTACAATGTCGACTCTAAAGAAGCGTAAGGCTAAACCTAACTTAAACAAGCCTTTATATGCTAAGAAATTAAAACTTAATCTAGAATTCTAAGCAGTACGTAAAACTATAGAGTTATTTTAACTTGTTTTGCTTATTTATATCTTAGGTTAGAGACCTAATTGTAAAAAATCAGCTAGTATCTATCTATAAAGTAAAGCGTAAGCTTACTATTAAAAAGAAAGCTTATAGAGTAACAAAGCTATAACTTAAAATAGAACAACTTAACGCGAAGAAATACAAGGATATTAAGAATACTCTTACTAAGAGCGTAGAGGTTAGGCTAAAAGCTAAAGAAGACACTAAAAGTTCTCTTACCACAGAGAAGGCAAACTATAGCAACACCTACAAGTGCTATTATGCTCTCTACTTAATCTCGTCTCTAGATATAAATAACATGTATAAAAGCAATCTAACTGTAATTAAATAGGTGTTAAGCTTCTTGCATAATAAGTTTAGTTCACGGATTAAGGCTTTAAAGCTATACACTAAGAACCTTTCTACAACTAAAATACTTAGTAGGACTTGCAAGAAGTAAACTAGCGTAAGGATTAAGCATTTATGTACCTTAGCAATTCTTAAGTCTAGGCTAGGAATAGTATAGTGTTGGTGATAATTACTCTTTTTAGACAGGGAAAATAAAAGGTTATTACAAAATCCTAACTTACTTGCTCTTAAATCTTTGTACTAAAAGCGTCTATCTAAAACAGCGTTAACATACAGTTGCGTCTACGTACCTATTGGCGTTAGAATCTGTTATGTTATGCTGAGATTTAGAATGTTTCTTAACGCTAGTTAGACTGCTAGTTTATTTCATGTTTTTAGTTACAAAGCTTACAAGCTTATAGGTTACCTAGGTATAGAGACGGTTAATCATCTTGAGCAGAGTGTACAAGGGATTAAAATACAGAAGCTTGAGCATAAACATAACAAAACTCTTGTGCTTAAAGACTGCCAGGTCTGTGTTAAAACTAAGATAAAGAAGTAGATTAGTTAACGCCTACTATAATTATTCTCTACGCGGCTATTTTATTGCATTAGCATTAACCTTATTCAACTCTGCCCCACAGGCCAGCGCTGCTACAATGGAGATCTATACAGCCTTCATGCAGTAGATGAGTATACCTGCTCCACCATAAATCGTCCGCCGTACTAGTGCCAGATATAGTCCGATTCATGGTGGAGCAGCTGTGTCTCATGCCATTTGGTATACTCATCTACTGTATGAAGGCTGTATAGATCCCCATTGTAGCAGCGCTGGCCTGTGGGGCAGAGTTGAATGAGGTCAATGCCAATGCGATAAAATAGCCGCGTAGAGGCTAATTATAGTAGGCGTTAACTAATCTACTTCTTTATCTTAGTTTTAACACAGACCTGGCAGTCTTTAAGCGCTAAGGCTTTGTTATGTTTGTGCTTATGTTTGTGCTCATGCTCCTGTATTTTAATCTCTTGTACGCTTTCCTCGAGATGATTAACCGTTTCCAGACCTTAAGGCACGAGGAGCTGGTTTTTATTGCTAAAGGAGGGCAACTATAGGTTTATATAGTACTAGGTGAACCCGTTATGTGACCTAAGGCCACTACTATCTTTAGGCAGCAGTGGTTGAAAGTAGTGTCAGGTAACTAGAGCTTTGAGATCTCTGTAACTACAAACATTTCAGATAGGCTAGGCATAATCCTTCAACTCCTTCTTTATCTCTTCGCCGAGCGCACGTCAGCCACTTCTAATAAGGGTAATTTGAGGCTCAAGTAAGTTCTAAGTCTTCCCCCTCTAAAAAAAAAAGAAACACCTCTAACTCTTTAGTCCTCTTACTTCTATACTCACTCTAACAAGCTCTAAAACCCCGCGATAGCACCACTAGCAAAGCGCCTAGCAGAGCTAAACAGGACTGAAGCTCCTAGATAGAAAACCGCAAAGCTTGATCTAGAGTTCCTAAAGGTGCTTTAGCACCATCTCTAGCATTGCAATTCTACTTAATCTTCCTCTCCAGTTAGCAACCTCTTCTAAAAGCATTGACTGAAGACTATGGCCTTAGCCTAGAAAAGACTTGCCACTGAGTAAGAAGGGCAGAACAAGAGGAAGAGACAACTAGGCACTGCGAAAAGCCACTACAAGACAACAGGTTCTAAGTTAAAGACAGTCTAGAACACCCTTTCCGTGAGCAAATCTAAGCTAGTCCGCGCAGAGCAAGAGAAGAGCGTCTGCAAACAACACTTAATGCAGAGAAAACAATGCAGAAAGAGACTTGAAATTAGATTTATGAGGAAAAGTGTGTCCGCAGGGGGTCACAGGCGGTCTCTAAGAATACGTGGACTAATTGAGAGCGAGCAAAGATAGGCGCGCCTAGACAGACAAGTGTTTCGAGATTATCTGCGCTCTGATGATGAACAAGGTATCTAAGACATACAAGGGTGCTGGGAAGACTGAGACAGCTGAGGTTGCTAAAAGGCTATTAAAGAGAACTAGGGCTCTCATGTCTAAGGAGGCGATTTACAGAGCCACAACATGTCAATTGAAGGAGCGGTCTAATATAAGGAAGACAAACAATGTAGCACATGCTACAGCTAACACAGTGGTTTGGCCTTTCTTTAAAGCTGAGTGTGGTAGTATCCACTGCTTCCGTTGCGATGTGCCAGTTCTTGTAAGGATGGCCAGAAGGGATGACTGTGCCCTAAGACGCTAGGAGAACATATTTTAATTAATCCTTTCTAAAATGTTTTATCTAGCGGTGTTTATCGCATTTCTGCGGGATTTGGCGATCAGCCGAACAGTTTTCAGAGGAATATATCATAAGAAGTCTAAGAACAGGTCTTCAATTCAGACCTAGGTTAGTTGGATTAGTAGTATATTTGTTGAAGGGACAGAATGAGCACTTCATTCTCGGAGTAATATTAAGGAAAAGGGTATACCATTAGCCATTGCCCCAAGTCCAGCCCAACTAAATAGATCCCACTAATTCAATCTTAAACCTTTAAAAGCATCTTAACTGTAGAGATAATATGCTTTGAATCATCTACTATTACTATTACTGTTTAAAAGAATCTAGCTGTAAGAGTAGTAGCATAGGTTAACTAAAGTAAGTTCTTACTTTAGAGATTACTGTGTACATAAATATAAGCTAAATATTTAGCAAAATATTTATTTTAGTTAAATTTATATATAAATACCTACTTTAATAAAAGCAGCTTAGACATTACTTTAGTTTACATAATCTTTTTCTAAGTGCCTTTTTTAAGTAGGGTAGCTATCTCTTTCTATGCTATAATCTTAAAAAGTTTTTTTAAAAGCTTATAAGCTCTTAGTTAAAGCTACTTAACAAAGGTAGCTATAAAAAACACTATATAAAGCATTTTAAGCGCTTTATTATTATAAGTAATAAATGCTTTAAAAAAGTTTATTTAAAAGTGCTTGTCACAATTGTGCACGAGTAAGGTTATAGAGCTTCACGGAGGTCTAGTTTAATTACTACGTGAGGTATCATGGTAGGTACAAGACGTTGTGTGAGGAATAGGAAGGTTTAGAAGGAAATTAGTAATTAAATACTTAGCTTAAAAGTCTAAGCGCTTTAGGTATAAATTAAGCCTATTTTAGGTTTAGTTAGTGTTAAGGCAGTTTATGCTTAAGTTTATGTCTATATTGTGTTGTGTTTATGTTAGACGTGCACTAATAATACTCTAGTACACGTCTAATACAGTTATGTCTAGGATCTAGAGAGGATACTGTGACAGTACCCCCCCTCTTATTAGAAAGAGAATCCTTTACATTAGTAGTTCTAGCATTAGGTTGTCTTTGTTAGGGTATAGGTTTAGTTTAGATAGGTATTAGGCGTAGAATTAGGTTACTGTAAAGTTCTCTTATAGGGCTTCTGCAGGTTTCTACAACAGTTTGTTGTATCTAGTCTATTTTATAAGGTATTTGTAGGTATGTTTCTTCTTATTAAACTAGATCTATTTAATGTTTTCTATAATATATTCTAGTTTATTATTTATAATAATAGGTTTAGGTGGCAGGTTTAGCTGTCTAGGTAGATAGTTAGATTTAGAGGCTGCTTAGCGCAGCAATAATACGTGGAACACAGGGTGTATCTTTATGCTGTTAGGTAGGATTAATTAGTAAGCATGTAATAAGACTATATAAGCTACTATAAAGGGGCTAAGGTTTTTCTAATTAAGTTTTTTTAATTATTAGTTTGTTTAGATATTTCTAGCGTCTAGCTAGACCTTCTTGCCAGCTGCATACGCAGAGGCAAGGGTTTAGAATTAGTTTACATACTCTTGTTAAAAAGCTTAAGCCTATGTAAGCTTTTTATAAATATATTTAAATATATTTTAGATTTTATTAATAAGTCTATTTATGTCTATTACTTATATAGATTAATAAGTTAGTTAGGGGGTATTTATAAGTAGTTTAAATCTTATTTAGAGGTAGTATCTATAGTTTGCTAAGAACAGGGATACTTATGTTAATTTAGATGTTATATTATTAGCTTTAAACTGTGCTATAGCTAACTATTTTACCTAGTTATCCTGCTAGTAGTTTATGTACACTTATAGGACTTATTTTATTACAGTGTTTGTGTTCTTAGTCTAGCTGTTAGTCTCTAGGTAAAAAGCTGTAGATAGATAAGGGACAATTTAGAGCTGTTTATAGAGTTTGTCCTAGAAGGCTAAGACAAACTGCGTACCTCTGTCTAATATAATTATGTTAGGCAGGCTATAGTAAACCTATATGTATTAGTAGAATAACTAGGCTATATTAGAGGCAGTTATAAAAGAATATAGTATTAGGTGTTAATACTTAGTTAAGTAATTAATAACTACTATAATATTTATATACCCTTTAGATAGAGGTAGGTCTATAATAAAATTAATTAATATGTCTTTTTAAGCTTATTTAGAGATTAGAAGCAGTTTAAGTAGGCTATTATACTTTTCTTAAAAGGCCTTTACTTTACAGCAAGTATAGCAACATAATATGTATTAGCGTACAGTATGGAACATGCGGGGCCAGTAGTACTCTCTCTGTAGTAGGTTAAGAGTCTTTCCTCTGCCTAGGTGTCCTCTAACAGGCAAGTTATGTATAATTTAGAGTAGTTTAATTCTTAGTTTATTAAAATTAGAAATTACAAGTTAGTTACAGTAATATAGCTTGCTATTTTAGTTTTTGTAGTTAGCTAGTGTTACCTTCTTTAACTAACTAGCGCTGTTTTAGAGCAGGTTTAAAGTTTCTTAAATAAATTTATTATTTAGATACTTATTAGTAATAATCTAATTAATTATCTAATTTATTTTATTTAAGTTAAGGTCTAAAAATAGCTTAAGTTAAAGTAGAGTTTAGTGTTAAGCTTTTTACACTTTTTCTTAAGTAGGGATGTTTTAGAATTGCTTTATAAGAGCATCTAGTTTCCCTCTGTCTTAACTAGGATAATAAGTAATCTTAAAATTAAAATAAAACAGGTATTTAGACTAATAGGCTTATTACTAGCTAAGTTATTTTATAGTTGTAAAGTACTATAAGTTCTTGTAGTTAGATAGGACCTATATTAGATGCGCTGCACCTTCTAGTTTAGGTTGCTATTGTTTAAAGTAGTGTACTATAGTAAGCAATTCTTTATTATAGATCTTATAATTACCTTCTACAGGACTTATTCTTTTTAAGAAGTATGCAATAGGCCTAATAGTCCTGTCTAGCTTAGTCTAGAAGAGAACTTCTACTACTATATAGTCTAAGGCATTAGCTTCTATAAGTATTAGTAGTTTAAAGTTAAAGTAGTAGAGTATTAAGGCTTTAGTAAAGGCTTTCTTTAGCTAGTTAAAGGACTATTAGTAATTTAAGTTAAAGTTAAATTAAACCTTTTTTTTAGTAAGTGTAATTATAGGGCTTACTAGCTGCAAGAAGTTATTAATAAATTATTAGTAAAAGTTAGTAAATTTTATAAAAGCTTAAATATCTTTTATGTCTTTTAGGTATTGCTAATCTAGCACAGTCTAAACTTTAATAAGGTTTATTTAGATGCTATCTATAGAAATTATATATTCTAAATACATAACCTTTAATTAGTAGAACTTGCATTTGTCTATGTTAAGTTGCAGACCTGCTTTTTCTATAGCCTTTAGCACTAGGCGTACATGCTGTTTGTGCTCTAAAAGGCTATTGCTATAGATTAAAATATTGTTAATATACGCAGTGCAGAACACGTCTAGGTAGGGTTAGAGCAAGTTGTTTATAAAATGTTAAAAAGTACTAAGCGCGTTAGCTAAGCTAAAGGGCATTACTAGGTACTTAAATAGTTTATATTAGGTCTAAAACACTATTAGCTACTTATTACCTTTTACTATCTTTAGCTTGTTAAAGGTAGTAATAATATCTAACTTTATAAAATACTTTACTTTACTTAGTTAGCTTAGGGTTTTTTATAAGAAAAAAATTAAGTATTAGTTCTTAATAGTAACAGTGTTTAGTCTTTAGTAGTTAACATAAAATTAAAGCCTACTCTTAAGTTTCTTTATAAATAGTATAGGTAACACTACTAGTAAAGAGCTAGCTTAAATAAACCTTTTTTTTAGGTTTTTATTAAGGTATTTTTAGAGCACTTTTAATTTATTTAGCAACATTTTATATAGTAGCCTATAACTAGGTTGTTTACTAGGCTTAAGAGTTATTTAGTAATTATACAGACATTGTATTAGAAGCTTATTAGACTTGTTTTAAAAAAAGACATGCAACAGGTTGTAGTAGTCTTAAAAGATTATTATCTTTAAGTTAGTGTGTTTTTAGGGAGCTAAAGCTTAGTCTATATTAGAAATTGTAACTGCGTAGATTTTGTAATCTAGTTGTTAAGCTAGGGTCACAAATAGGGCAGGTTTTATGTAGCAGATGTCTATCTGCTGTTTAAGTCCTAGTTTATGTCTAAATTAGGTAGGTAAAAGTTTCTTAAAGGCTTTCTTTTCTTTAGGTTTAAGCAGTTGTTAAATTATTTTACATAGCTTATTTTAGTAAGAGGCCTAGCTTGTTAGCCTTACTTAGGTAGTTTTTCTTTAGGTTATTAAAAAGTAGGTCTAAAAACCTTTTATATTAAGTGCTATTTAGGTGTTGTTTAGGTGTAAGCATAAGCATATATCTTAGCATTAGAAAAAGTTAAAGTTTAGAACTTACTTTTAGTAATTAAAGGCAACCTTGTGCTAATATAGCTATAGTTGTTCTAGAATTAGGTTATAATGTTTTATATTTATTACATAGAGCTTAATCTGCTCCTTATAGTGTTAGTAGGTAATTATAATAGTTGTAGTATAGAAGATAGAACCTTTTTTAAGTTGTTTTCTACTAAATTTAGTTAGGTAAATTATTTAAGTAAGTAGTGTTAATTAGAGATTTAGTTTATATGCTAGTTCTCTATTAATGTAACCTATGCTGTTTACTCCTAAGTTAATAAGAGCTTATATTAAAGCTAATATAGTTTTTTATTATAAATATATAAGAATATTAACTTAGTACTTTTAGTTATTAGTAGAGGACTTAGCTTATAGGTTAGCAAAGATCTAGTGTTAAATTAGTCCTAGGGGGTAACTTAGCCCTAGGACAAGCCTTTTTACAGGCTTCTACTGCTATAGCTGCAGCTATGTTAAAAGTGGCAAAGGGGATTAAGGCTTAAATATAAGTTAAAGCCCTTATAAAAATAAAATTAAAATAGTAAGGATTTTTAATAAGTGCTAGCAGCGCTACTTGCGCAGACTTAAAGAAGGGGAATAAAGTAGTTTTTGTTGAATAGGCTCTGACAGCTAGCTGCTTATGGTATAAGCACTTAAGTAGCAAGAGTAAGAGTGGTGTACAGTGTGCACAGCATATAAGGTAGGTAAGGTAAGGGCAACATGTTTCTAGTTCTATTACTCTTGTCTTTTCTTTATACAGAGGAAAAGGGGGATATCTAGATGTTTGCGCATAGAGGTTTGCGCACAA